TATATATATATATATATATATATATATATATATATATATATATATATACACACACACACACACACACACACACACAAACAAGACTTTTCAACCTAAAATATATTTAGATTGATAAAAGTATTCTGAAAATCTGAAGGACAAATTGTGAGTTGCGCACAATTTAATTATGCATATAAATTATTACAATATTTTTCATTATTGAGCTTTAATCTTTTTGCATTTCTTTCACAATTAAATAAGACTTTAAGTATATAATTAGCATTAACTCAATGAATTTTTGACATAATTAAAAGTTATTCTTCACTACCTAAAAGTTGAATTTTTAGCAAAGTTTAAATAATTATATTTTATTGAAAACATAATAGTTCAAAGTGTGCGATGGTTTGTGCATGTAGCTTGAACCTTTATCTTTAAAACTTTAAAGTTAAGGTAGAAGTTGATAGGACTATTTGTTTAAAAGTTATAATGATTTTTATAAATGGGACATATATATTCCAAAGGCACGAAAGGTTTAAAGAAAAAAGTGGTACGTCGAGGTAACTATTATATATCGATTGATTTTGAATACGATAACCAGACGCAATTCAGATCGCGCAACTAATAATGATTAAACTTCATAATTATTGATTCTTTTTTAGACGTCATGAGAAACTATTTTTTCTCCTCTTCTCAAAAGATATGGCAATAGTTTGCGCAATTTTTCATCATTTGCTTATAAAATATGATAGCGCAATAGCGCACCTGTCAATGTGACAGGTTTTACATTAAGTTCATTTGTTACTCATTTATTCACACATGTAGCTCATTTGTTCAAAGCCTTCACGAGTAGCAGTTTTAATTCAAATTCAAAACAAAGCAAAGCATTTTCAATTTCACACTTAATCATTTTCTCTGTTGCTCTTGACACATCTAACTATAAAAATAAACATAATAATTTTAAAATAAGTTTACAAATACATGTAACTGTATTAAAAATCAAATTAAATGTTATTTTTATTGTAATTTATTGTAATCTAAATCTATTTTGTGAATATAATATCCCTTTTCTATCAAAATACCAGACAATATGTATTATACACACAAATTTGTCCATTTTGGAATAAATTTAAATCTTCTGTCTCCAAAAAGGACAAATTAACACTATTTTACACACATTTGCGACATACCGTGAATCGTTTACCTTTATTCACATTTCATTTTATCCTCATCTTACTTTCATTTATACTTTTTGCCAGTGAAACCGATAAGTTAAGAAAATAAATAAATAAATAAAGACTATAATCTCAAATTATGATCTTTATAATCCGAATCTTATTGTACTTTATCTTACATAAACATTAATTATTTTTATTCTGATAATTTATTTATAAAATTCATTGTTATTTAATTAACAAGATTAACTCTTTTAATATTATATATATATATATATATATATATATATATATATATATATATATATTAATAATAGTATTAAATTTGGTAAATTATTTATTATTTAATATGTAAATTATATATATAACATAAAATATGTATTTACAAAAAAATATCTTTATAAAAAAATGTTATTCTCTAATATCTAAAAATCCATGCTAAATAATTAAAAATTTAAATTTAAACAATATTATCAGCCTATATGTAAACTGTATTATAAATTAGAGTAATAATTGAAATATAAAAATTTTGCAAACTATATAATTTATATAGACTAGATGCAACTATAGATTCATCCACGTAATTCACGTAAATTATATAGATTCGACGTGTATACAATAGGTCTATTTTAGTCAGTATTTTCTGCTGTCTCTACTGTCAGTATTTTCCGCTGTTTAAAGTTAATCGACGATATACAACCTATTCCTATATTTATTTTCTATTTTAGTCGGTATTTTCTGCTGTTTCTGCTGTCAGTATTTTCCGCTGTTTGAAGTTAATCGACAATATACAACCTATTCCTATATTTATTTTCTAACATTTTATTTATAATATCGATTAAAATAGAAATAGAAACGTTTTAAAGTGAAGTTGATTGTATTTTTCTTGTACATTAGGATACAAAATATAAACGAGTAATATTTACAGTTTGACAATTATCGTCTTCTTTTTAGACGATCTTATAGTTATTTATTTAAATTAAGTGAATAATATTTTAGTAAATAGATTTATTAGAAATAAAAAAATTATATCTGTGTATATCATATAAAAACAATTCACGTATAATAACTAATTGTAAAACACATATTATCCAAATCAATAAAACAAGAATTCAACTTAAAATTCATAATAAATTTAATATTTTTTCATTTGATGTGTTTTTCAAAATATCATAAAAATTTAATATCATGTCGATAAAAAAGAACAAAAAAATAGGACAAAAAACAAGGACTATACAATATTAAATATTAAATGTGAAAACAGAATTCTTCGCAAAACCAATTCAATTTCAAAACATTCAAATTATTCATGTATCAATGCTTCGAACATATCTACTAATCCAATCGAGAAACTTTAGGATTTCTCTATCTTAACAAGCCAACGAAAAAAGACAAACGTGATTCACCTTTATGCAGTGGCGTAGGATGAAGGGGCGATGCATTGACGACGATTGTTGGAATCCAAACAGGTAATAACAACAATAACAACAGTAGCAGCAGCGATGGCGACAGCACAAAGAAAATCGAACACACTGTGGCGGGCCGTCGACTCTTGTCTTTCACTGCCGTTGTTGCCACGGGACGCATCGCGGGCCCGTGGACCCCGTAGTACCTCGTGTATTTCTCTTGTTCTTTCACTGTTAGCTCCTTCGTCTTCTTTTCCTCCTCGTCTTCTTCTTCGTCTTCTTCTTCCTCCCCCTCCTCACCCACAGATAAGACAACGCGCATGGGCCCGATATTCTATACCCCGGCAACAACTAATGGTGACGCTATCTGCTTTTCGTCGAGAAGTCGATCATCGTACTTTGCCAGTTACATACCAAGATCATTTCTCCGTATTTCTCCGATCGTTCTCCTTTACCTGCTTGTCCTCTTATGTACTACCACTTTGCCATCTTTTCCTCACCATCTACTCCTCACAAATCGTAGGTCGCTCAACCTTTCGACCCGTCTCTTTCCTCCACCTCCACTTCCAGCATTACCACCGCCGTCTTCCCCACCTTTTCCTCTTCTTCTCTCTCGATGTCTCGTACCGCTTTCAGCCTTCCTTTTTTCCTCCTCTTTTTCAACGAGTTCCACCTCGCGTCACCTGCAACGGCGGATCGACTCCTCTTCTTCGTGGTCGTCGTTGTCGTTGTTGTTATTGTCGTCGTTGTCGTCCCTCCTTGACGTTCTCCACCTGCAGTCGCAGATAAAGTTGCTTTCCTACAGCTGACCAAGCCTGTTGACAAAAAGAAGACACGAATAATTAATCATAAGTATCAAAAACGTGCGAACAAATCAGAACATTATTTTGTTCTCACGTAAAATCAGATTTCGTTAAGTTAAAATGGTAAAGAAACGCGGCCATAAAACAACTTATCGCAAACAAGTTACTTACTCGTTTATAGTAGAAATTGAAATAACGACCACACAAGTGTTTACCTCGTGGTAAATATATAAAGCATAAAAGTATAGAATCCAAGGAGTAAGGAGGATTAGGAGAGTGGGGAAGACAAAGCATCGTCGACTCGCAATCGTGGCCAGAAGATTATTTATGTGAAGATAAATGCGCGCGCGAGATTTGTATAATAAGACGCATTAACACTGATATCGATATATACATCCCGTATATATAACGAGCTACTAACAGCCGTGACGATGGTTACTCGTTATGTTCGTCGTTTGACAGACTCAAATAAGTTCTGTAATTTCTTTACGATACAAAATAAGACGAGATATATATCAGAAAATTCGGAACCATAGTAAATATCGTTAATGTCGATAAAACTATCTGGTACGTTTACATATCCCAGAAATAACAATTTAATACGCTTAATATATATGAAATAAAATGTAATATTATTTAATAAATAAATTTATTTATGGAATGAAAACGTCTGTACATTATACCAAGTAGATGTAATGTACAGACGACCGATATTGAAAACGGTACCAATTCGCTACCGAGAAATAGATATCATATTTTCATTAGTAGTACCCAGTACTGAATCACTATTTAAAAAGGATATTAATTATACTATCCCGTTATCTGAATCGGAATCGGGTGGCTGTATCGAAACGATACTGCGCCCATACTGAAATCGATAAACGGAGTTCTTCGGAGCCTAATATCGAAACGATACTACATTACCGGTAAATTTACAGTATCACGCCCGTAAAAATGTTCCCTTATAATTTATATTAAATAATAACTCAAAAGATCTCGTCGAGTAGATTCATCTTCCCGTAATATAACCTGTAGTGCGATTCTGTAACTCATATTGCAGTTAATTTCGTTATCATTGCGCAGCTTTTTCGTACTGTAAAAAAGCTGCGCAATGATAAGAAGACTGTCGTTAACTGCAATAACGAATTACAGAATCGCACTAGATAATATAAAATGGTCTATTATATTTACATATGTACATTCGGTTATCGACAATGGTTAATCATAAATTTTTTCCGAATAAAGTTGGAGCGCTTCTAGTTGTCATAAATTAAAAAAACACTGCTGACGTGTTCGCTGTTATAATAGCAGTGATATTGGAGATATATGATGATATTGGAGAGTGTGAAAATAAATATGATGAATATAACATTCAAATAATATTATTTTCCATAGCTTAAATTACGAACTTTGTGGACTTTGAAGGTTTAAACACACCCCTTTATTTTGTATATTGCATTATAAACTATTTACAATTAATCATAACAATAATAATATGGGATAATATTAATGTGACAATAATAATGATAACTCAGAAGGAACATGTGGCATAATAAATACTTGCAACACCAAAATAAAATAAAATAAAATGCAACACTAGAAAGAATTAAGATAAAAAATTAAGTACTTTTGTAACTTAAAGAATTAAGATAAATAATTACATACTTTTGTAACTAAATTTCTGCCTAATTACTACAAATTACGAATATTTTTGGAAATTGTAATTGGAGTCGAGATTAAATATAAATACTTTTTAGAATTATAATCAATAATTATTATTTTTCGGAATTTTGTGTAATAAAGTTCAAATTTTAATTTAATTACAATTCAAAAATTACCTACATTTTCTCGATTGCAATTATACTTAAATTCGATTTCAATTATAAGTATAAAAAGTAATTAGTAATTAGATAGGAATTTAATTACAAAGCTGTTTAATTATATATAATCTTGATTCTTTCTTGTGTTGCGCTTTATTTCGGTGTCACAAATATTTTTCGTGTCGTAAATATTTTTCATGGACAATTACACAACTGTGTATCGTTGTCGAGAGAAGAACAGAAGGACCGTGCCACTTGACATGGATACTCACAAAAATTTCCCTAAATGGAGAATACTTGTTTTCTACAATAGCAAACCCAGGTACAAGTTATTGGCGTAGGTCAAATACTTTCCGGACAGATATCGTAAATAATGAATTTCACCCAAAAAAAATTCTATTAAGCAAGGATTTCCTCGAAGCGTCTCCTCTAAGTAAAAAAAACTTATAAGAAGTGTACTCCTCTTTAAGAGGGAAAACTGGTTTACCGGATTCAAAAAATCGATTTTTCAAGAATGGTTTTAATTAACAGTATTACATTTAGAGAAAAACGTATTAAAATTTTAGAGCAAAATTAAAAATACTTGTCGAGAGTTACAGCCTGTAAAATTGTACGCGTCGAAAAAGTAGTCGAGCGCGCAACTGGAGCGCTCGGTGCACTTCGCCTTCTTAGCCTTTGGAAGTGGATGAGGACACGACTGCGTAACATAAACGTAATGCGTAAAAAAAGTAAAAAAACTCGACGGAAGGGGAAAATTAACTGATGCACTTATAGTAAAATTAACTAAGTATTATGGATTAGCCATAAGACGAAATGTGAATTTTGTAGAAGAAATGAAAAAAGCAACACTCGATTATTTAATTTTCACGGATAAGAATCCGAAGCATGAAAACTGCCCGCCCGGTAAGGAAAGCTGATGCAAGTGGCGCAAAGCTGAGGCGATTGGTAAAACACAAGAGTATGAGCATCCTCCTTCACTTAATCTGGAAATTGTAAGGCACATTCTTCTTATATATTGTTGTGCCCTCGGTTACGATAAGCACAACCGGTAATTGGGATCCGGTGCAGACGTGCAAACGTATAGGATAATAAGGGAATCTAATAGTCTTGAAGAGTTTCTTAATAAAATGTATTATTCAATGTAATAGAACTTGTCTTCTTACAATTCCTGATCACGCTCTTATTGCACTTCACATATATACTTTTTAGCTTATCCTACACCGATTAGATTAATGTATCGCGTTATTGTAATGCAGGATACTCGTATTACTCTCGAGTCAGTTGTCTCTCACCTGAGACATGTAACGTGCGCCTCTAGACTGGACAGTACTTTTCTCTCTACTCTCTCTCT